GTCTTTTTTTTTTTTTTTAAATTTTTGTTATAAACAATAAAATAATTTTTTTTTCTGTTTGTTTACTTGTTTGTTTGCTTGTTTGTTTATATATATATATAAATTTTTTCGTATTTATTATATTTCGTATGCATATATATATATATATATATATATATTATTTTATAATATACAATAAATTTTTTATTTTTTTCGTTTGTTTTTATTTGTTTTTTTATTTTAATTTTTTTTTATTTTAAATTTTTTATTTATTTATTTTTTCTGGTAATATTATTGTAATAATGATTATTATTATTATTTTTAATTTTTTTTTAAAAGGTGTTAAATATTTTTTTTTAATGTTTTTTTTATTTTTTATTTTTTTTTGTTTGCTTCAATAATAGTATTATTAATATTTATTAATATTTATTAATTATTATTATTATTATTATTATTAATTATTATTATTTAATATTACTATTATTATTATTATTATTATTATTCAAAGACATGTCCATTTAATAAGGAACTTGGTCACGTCGGGCAGGAGTTTAATAAACGAAAGACATTTGCCGTCGACGACGAATGTTTCAACGAAGATCACGAACCTCTTGAATGACGTGCGATCTCTCCTGCAGGAGGCAGAGCCACCGGAATGTGATAGAATTTGCAATGTTGGCGATAGCAACTGCCCTTTGCGGCGTCTCGGCACACGGTCACTCGCCCGTCGATTGTCTCCACGTGATCTAAAAATAATAATAATAATCCTTTTAATAATTAAACTATTTCATCATTTGATAACATAAAATAAATAAATAATAATAATAATAATTTTTGATGTGGTTTTTTTTTTATTTTCACCTGCGTTCAGATGCACAAGGTGACAAATCGGTCTTGGACAGGTCCGGTTGCGACTAAAATCTTGGCACACCGGGAGGGTGTCCAGTAACTGTAAAAGAAAATTATTAAAGTCAATCATATTATCATTTCAAAGTATCGAATCATCTTTTTTTTTTTTTAAAAAAAATAAAAACCAAGAAAAAAAATGAATTTGAGCAAAAAAAGTGGCAAAAGACAAAAAAAATTGTTATATTATCTACGGTATCAAGCACAATCCGAGAACCACGCGTGCGTGTGCTCTCTGCGCAAATTAAAATGAAAAAACAAAACAAATAAAAAAAAAAAAAAAGAAAAACAAAAATAGGAATCAAACTACCTGTCCCTGGTCATCGGTGTAGACCACAAATGGGGCATTTCCGAGCCCCGATATAGCTGCATGCCGAAGCCCACACACCATCAAAATCCGAAACACGCGCATTGCAGGCAACCGTTAATAGCGCATGAGATCCATTAAAATGTTTTTAAAAACAAAATAAATTCAAAGTAAATATGTCACCAACACATGAATATACAGTGTAGCAGTGGGCAGTTGAAGCGAGCAGACGGGCGGACGGGTGGGCAGACAGGCGGACGAACGGGCGGGCGGTCAAACACGGAGAATTCGCGCAGAATGTGCACAACAATGTGGACACGAACGGATCCGTTATAAAGTAAGTCGCGTCAATTAAGAAAGCGTGTAAAAACATAAGAGCAAATTTGAATGAAAAGCAAAACCGCCAAATTAGGCCGCTCTGCACTCTCCTACATGTATATATAAGTAGGGGTCCTAATCCCGCAATCTCCACACTAACCAGGTAGACGCCTCCCTTTTCCCTCCCAAACACACACACCGTACTCCCCCCCGTGCAACCGAGAAAAAAAAAATCATGATAATATCGACACTTTCGCCTGAGTTAGTAGTGGGGAGAATGCGTTAAAAGCATTGAGACTATCTTTGGGAGCATAAAAGTATCTAATAAAAATGTACAGGATGTTAAACTAATAAAAAAAAAAAGGAAAACAAACAACAAACGGGAAAAAAAAACCGGAACATCCTGTACGATACGATATAAAAGAAAATCAGCTCGCAATGAAGCCCAAATGCTCGTGACCACCTGAACAATCGTCAAACTCATTCAAGAGCTCCTCCACACAAATTCTCCAGTTTCCCTTTTTCCCTCCCTCCTTCCTCCCCCTTCTCCTCCTTCTCCTACCCAAAAATATTAAGTTTCGCAATAGATAGAAAGAAAGAAAAAAAAATTGATAAGAGAAATAAATTATTATTTTTGTTATCACACGACGATTTGCAAAAGCGGTTAAAAAAATTTTTTTTTTTTTTGTTTTCCCAATTTATTTAAAAAAAAAGCTTTTGTATAGCCCCAAAATAAAAAAAAAGTGGGAGACATTTTTCTCGGGGAGCTCTTAAAGGAATCTGCGTCGTTTATAAAATTAATAAAAAAAAAAAATAATAATAACAAAATAAAAATAAAAACTAAACAAACTAAAAGAAAACGTGGAAAAGTTAAAAAAAAAAAATAAAATAAAATTTAAAAAATAAAAAATATTTAAATAAAACAAACAACAACCTCGAACCTTAAACCGAACGAATAATAATAATAATAATAAATTAAGTAATTGGATTTATTCATTCGCTATGAACCGCCATTTTGTTTTTTTTTTTTTTTTCATTTTTAATTACTTAATTTTTTTTTTTTTGTAAATTCCTGCAATGCGCAATAATAATAATAAAAACACAAAATCCATATATATATATAAAAAAAGTACTTTCACGTCAAACTCGTGTATGATAATAATAATAGTAATAATAATAATAATAATAACTACTTTAAATGAAAAACATGCAAAAAAAATATTAAATGTTAATTTTTTTTATGCATATGCGTTTGTTTATAACGAAAAAAAACGAAAAAAAATTTTTTTTTTTTTTAAATAACTTCCACGTTCTCTTTTTTTGGGGAGTCGTCGGCAGTCTATGACGTCATCGTCGTTGACGTCAACGACGACGACGACGACAAAAGCATATTTAAAATGAATATAATCGACGTTTTGAGATATTACGCGAGGTAAGGGAGTTACTACAAGAATAAAATCGGCGTGGGAGGGTCTACTGCTACGTAAGCGGAAGTGGCAATTTAAAAAACAAAAAAGGGGGAAAAGTCGGATATCGTGGCGGGGGGGTAGAAAAAGAACAATCGAAGAAGGGTGATGGTGGTGGTGGTTATTCGCAAGGGTTAGAAGATGGGCAAAATTTTTTATTTGTTTACATCCGACTTTTCGGAGGAGTTTTACCAGAAGATATTTTTTCGCACCTCCTCCTTCTCCTCCTCCTCCTCTTCTCTCTTTCTCGTGCCGTGACGTAATTTTTTATGACGGGATCACAGAAGTGTGTAAGACAAATGAAGTAAAATGAATGAATGAATGATAAAACAAAAATACGGGAAAACTATCAAAATAAAAACAAAAAACAGGACCCATAAAAAAAAAAAAAAATGAAAATTTTCTTAAGGAAAATTAATAATAATAATAATAAGAAGAAAAAAATAAAATTAAATAATAATAATAATAAATAAATAAATAAGCATTAATAAAACAATACTCATGCATTTACAAGCATGATTATTACAAAATACTGAAAACTGAGGCGGCGACTCAGTCGTTAAAAAAAAATTCTTTTTTTTTTTTTTTTTCATATAAATTTTTCGTTTGTTTTGTTTGTTTGTTTGTTTGCTTACTTAAATTATCAAGCGTTTGACGATGAGTTAAACTTTTTTTTTTTAATAAATAATTCACGTGTGTGCACGTGTGTGCGTTTGTTTGTTTTGCACACATAAAAAATTTAAACGAAATAAATAATATACACGTTATAAAATCATTTACATATATATATATACAAACAAACATAAAATTGATAAATAATAATAATGATAATGATAACACTTAAAAGTATATATATATATATATATATATATATATATATATAAACAAAGACGCACGCACGCGCACGCGCACACACAAAATTATTTTAAATAAAAATTTTTTTTTTTTTTAAAAGTAAAATCACAGATGACGAAGATAGATTGATAGACAGATAGATAGAAAGAAAGAAAGAAAGAAAATAATAATGATAATAATAATTGCTGCTGAGAACCAAACGAACAAAAACAAACAACCGTAAGGAACTTTCAAATTAATAATAATAATATTAACCTACGCTATTTAATTAAAAAAAAAAAAAATTATTATTATTAAAAAATTGGTAACCACCCGAATAAGCGCACTAAAGCAGGTACTTATAATAATATTTATTATCATTATTATTATTATTATCGTTGTAATCATAGTTTATGTAAAATAATAATAATAATTTGGTTAATTTTTTTTGTTTGTTATCTCACCGAGTAAAGATACATAATAATAATAATAATTATATATATATTTATATATATATTGCACTTATGTGTAATGGTTGTACGCACTGGAAACAAACATGCACGCACGCACACGCACGCAATTATGCGTTTGTACGCACTGTTTTAAAGCTAAATCGACCATATAATAATTTTAATACATATATATATATATATATATATATATATATATATATATATATATATATATTATGGGTAGATACGATGATGACGCGTATAAGTAATAATAATAATAATATATATATAAGATCGCATCTACCCGATCACCGAATTTTTTAAAAAAAATTTTTCACGTTTTGTTTTTGTTTCTTAAGGTCCTACAGCAGCAGCAGCAGCAGCAGTAAAATTTCCAAAAAAAAAAACTTAAATTTCTCTCTTTCTCCCTCTCCCTCCCTCCCTCCCCCTCTCTCTCTTTCTTTCTATATAAAAAACTATCGTTCTATTATACGTATGTATATTAACGCACACACACACACACTCACAGACACACACACATATATATATATATATATATATACTAAAAAAATAATAATCACGTTATAAAATTATAAATAAATAAATTTAGTATATAATATATACTGTAATATGTATATATATATATATATATACTAAGTTAACTATATATATATAGTTAACTTAGTATAATATATATACTGAATAAAAAAAATTTTTTTTTAAAAAAAAAGAAAATTTCACTCATCGTCTTTCGATTTCAATTTTTTTTTTTTTTTTTACTAATTATTACTATTACTACTATTATTACTACTACTACTACTACTACTATTAGCCTACCTTATAACAAATTACATAATAATAATAATAATAATGCATCTTAATAATTAATTAATTAATTAATCAATAATAACGACAATTAAAAAATAATAAAATAGTAATTTTAAATGGGTATATAATATACATGCTATATATATATATATATATTTTTTTTTTGTTTGTTTTTATTTTCATTCGATCAACGAAAAGAAGAAAAAAAAACGTCGTCTGCTGCTTTTACACACGCACATATTTATATATATATATATAAGAAGTTTTTAATTTTTTTATTATAAAAATTTCGATAATTATTTTATTTTATTTTTCACAGCGAGGCACTAACGTGACAATTATCTATATATATATATATATATATATATATATATATATATATATATATTATGTATACATAATTATAAATATTTTTTTCATTTAATAATAATAATAATAATAGAAAGACCAACGCCTAAATTCGTCGCTTCAGCCCCCGGTAACTTTATTATAAAAAAAAATATATATATATATATATTTATTACAAATATGTTATGTAAATTAAAAAATAAATAAATAAATATATATATATATAAATAAATAAATAACAAAAAAAGAAGCAACACTAAACAATTGGACAGTGATTCAAGTGACGGTTTATCTGGTTTTAGTTTAAAAAAAAAAAAAAAAAATTTTTTTTTTTTATTTACTCGAGTTAAAATAAATAATGATGATAATAATAATGATAACAATTTTTTTTTTTTTTTTAGTGTTCGAAGAGTGTACAGCCAAAAAAAAAAAAAAAAAAAAATGAAAGCGGCAAACTGTGTCAAAAAAGCCTAAGCGAGTTATTAAAAAAATAAATAATAATAATAATAATGATAAAAATTTTGGGGTAACCGTGACCCAGCGTGGGGCTGGAGCGATAGGCGAAGGTGATGGTGGTTTATGGTGGTAATGGTGGTGGTATACTCGATACTTAAAAATACTCGAGCTAACTCATACATGCATAGCCGGGAAGAAATGCCACCGGAATGAAGCGATGCCACAAAATCAAACAGTGGCAACCAACCTACGTTGTTTTCATTTTTTTATAAGGCTGAGGTGACGTGTTATTGTTTTCGTGGGTGGTTATGGTAGCGGATGGAGCGGCGGGATAATGCGATAGCATTGAACCCACCAAAAGTGGATTTCCGACGAGGACCGGATTCGATACGGCGGGAGCAGACGGAGGAGGAGGCATGGAATATACGGGTCGAAGGAATGCATAAGGATTTACGGGGGGTGAAGGTTTGGCAAAGGGTATTTGATAAGTGGAAGGAGTGAAAGTGTAGGGATACCCACGAGGAAGAGGTGCGGCAGCAGCAGCAGCAGCAGGAGGGGTTTGCTTGTTGAGGGACACCCCGGTATAATTCAGAGCCGCGGCTGCGAGTTTAGCTTTGGCATAACTCTGAGTAGCGACTTCCTTTGCTCTAGCCGCGGCATCTGTCATGGGCCCGAGTCCGGGGCGCTCCTCTGTTTCGCTCTTGCCCTCCGGGGACGAAACGGTAGCGGCGGTGTACTCACATGACACCGGTACGAACGGCTGTTGCAACTGCATTAACTGCTGATACGTCGCTCCTGGTTGATAAACGGGCACTCCGGATTTATCAGCTGCAGGTCTCTTGTACGGTACCATACCGGGGAAGGCCTGAAAAATAATTAATAATAATAATATAAATATAAAGACAAACAAATCTTTATCTTTTCTCTTTTATTAACTTCCTCTTATCATTCCACTCCTTACAAAAACAAACAAACAAACAACCGCAAAAAAAAAAAAAAACTTAAAACTTACAAAACTTTCATAGTAGAAGGATCCAACTGAAGATTTCATATCCATCTGAAAGTAAAAAATTATTAGAAAACAGCCGACAATAAATAAATAAATAAATAAATTAACGTTATTTCGTTATCATCATATAAATTAATCCAACATATTTTTTTTTTTTCTTATCATTTTGGGTCAGTTTTTTATCTTTATCGATTTTTTTTTTTTTAATAACTAATAAAACTAAAAAAGAAAAGAAAAAAAACTAAAAGCTTGGAAAATTAAAATAATAAAAAATCATGCAATTTCATTGAATAAAAAAACATTTAAAAAAAAAAAAAGAAAATATTAGAAAAACTATCAAGAAAGAAGTTTTTTTTTATTTATATTATTATATTATATAATATAAATATATATTATCAAATTAATATGATTACTTGTATCGATATAAAAAAAATTCATTGAAAAATAATATATATCATGACACTATGTATCAAACGTTAAGAAAAATGATAAAAATTAAATTTTTTTTTTTTTGTTACCAACATGACGGGGAAAAAAAAATTTTTTCATTTATTTATTAGTACGTTACGCATGCGTACATTTTTTAAAACGCGCGTTTTTTATTTTTTTTATATCGATACATATAAGCGTACATGCTAAACGACATGACATGGAATAAGGTAGTCCAAAAATCAAATTCATTCATTCATTCATCGTCATCTACTTTATTATTATTTAAATAAAATGGCGGATGATAATAATAATTTCTGTTTATTTTTTTTTTAAATAAAAGCGGAAACGATTCGGCAATAGCGGCAAATAAGAAAAAAAACAATTTCCGGACTACCATTAAAAAAAAAAAATTTTTAAATGCCATACATGTGCGTTTGCATTAGAAAAAAAAAAAAAAAAAAAAAAAAAAACAACCGAGCGCTCCTGCTCGGAAATATTATTATTATTATCTATGTACACTTGTTATACGTGTTCCTGTGTGTGTTCTTATTCGGGTTTGTATATTATAATATAATATAATATAATATTATAAAAAAAGATATTGTAATAACAGATATTGCGAAGCAAAAGCACCCGTTAATTAAAATCTAGTTTTTTTTTTTTTTTTTTTTTTATTATTATTTAAATCTACTAGAAATAATAATAATAATAAAACATGCAAAGCCTGATGGTACCAGTAATAAGTCATCACATGGTTCGCGGGCGCGCTTCCGCCCCAGCTCGATTGGGCCCACGGGTCCAGGGGCTGGTCCCGACGGCAGGGCCAAAGTCTAGTATTAGTAGCGTCAAGCCAAGCGCGGGCAGGAACAAAATTCAGCAAAAAAAAAAAAATAAAAATAAAAATAAACAAAAATAAGAAACAAATAAAATAAAATAAAAAATTAAAAATAAATAAATTAATTAAAATTAAATATTTTAAATAAATTTTTTTTTTTTTTTTTATTTACAAATTTTTTAATTTTATGATGAGAATGATGATGATAATGATAATAAATAAATAAATAAATAAAAGGTTTAATTAATGTTAAGAACCATAACTACCAATAATTTTTTATAACGGAAAATCGAAAAAAAAATTTAAATGGCGCATAAAAAAAAAAAAATAAATAAATTACGAAAACAAAATAAAGAGAAGCTTTTAAATGGTAATTTTTTTTGGCGCCAAAAAAAAAATTTATAACAACCGGAAATGGTGGTGGTGGTGGCGCAAAAAAAAAAGCGAATGAAAATTAATTTTAACCAACGTGCAAAACAATACAAAGCATGAAAAAAAAATCAATAAAATGCATGAAACAATTTTTTTTTTTATTAACCACGATCGAATCTGCGCACATATATCTAATAATAATAATAATGGTAATAATAATAATAATAGTAATAATAATGATAATAATAATAGTACTAATAAATGTATAAAAGCTTCATTCGTGACGATAAAAACGGTAGTTATGCTTCTCACATAAATAAATAAATAAAAGCGATTTTAAATTTTATTATCATTATCATTATTATCATTATTATTCATACACTATCAACTTATTTGTCAATAAATAAATAAATAAATAAATAAATAAATAAAGGGAATAAATAAAATTTTTAGCGAAAAAAGTAATTTTTCATTGCGTACGTAAAGGTAAAAAATTACTTTTATACATTTCGAATCGCGTAGAAAAACAAATAACAATGAATAATAATGATAATAATATTGATAATGATGATGATGATGATGATGATGGTGAAAGATGTGTCTAATATTCTAATACGAAATCCTACCAAGGAAAAGAAAAAGAGAAGAAAAAGAGACAAAAACGACAACAACAATAATAACAAGAACAACAACGACAAAAAATAATTTAAATAAATGGTGGCATGACAATGATAATAATAATAAAAATAATAAATGGGTGAGTGTGCGTGTGCGTGCGCGTGATAGGGGTGGGTCGTGAGTGAAAAATAAAAAAATGGCGGGAAAGCATAAGAAATAAAAGAAAATGATGATCGTGGAAAGTGAAATGCAAAAAAAAAAAAGAAAAAAAAAAGTCACACAAAATTGTGCGTGTGTATGTGTGTGTGTGAGTGTGCGTGTGCGTCACGAGTCAATAATAATAATGATGATGGATATGACGACTTCATGCATGTTGATTATTTTTATTCTTTTTTTTATTTATTTATTTTGACAAACTTATTCGTTGTCGACGCGAAATCATGCCGACTGTCAGAAGCCAGTCACACACACGCACGCACACGCACACGCACACACGCACAAACTTTGCGAAACTTTTAAAGTGAAAATCGAAATTTATTAAAAAAAAAAAAGTAATTTTAACGAACGAGAAGCGGAAACGGATGAAAGTGACACGGGAAAATTTTTTTTTTTTTTTTTTTTTTTTCCCCCAAACTATACTGCTTCTCATTCGTTTGTTTATTTACTTTTCGATTGAAACCTGAATTTTTCGATTCTTATGTAAATATTAATACTAATAATAATGATGATGATGATGAACGAATAAAAATTGCGACGCGTGTGTGTGTGACGTCATTGATTTTTTCAAAGGAAATATTCAAGTTTCAAACGATTTTTCTTTCTTTTTTTTTTTTTTTGTTTTGTTTGTTTGTTTCCGCTTCTATCGGGCAAACAAACATCTGCGAAATGAAAATAAACGATTTAAAAATAATAATAATAATAATCATTATTATTAAACAAAATAAAAAAAAAACGTTACGAATGCGTCGTAATAATAATAATAATAATAAAACTAAATCAAGCTCAAGCTTTTTGTGTATATTTTAATTAATTAATTAAAAGTGTGTGTTTGGGGGTGGGCGTGGGCGTTTGTACAATTTTTTTTTCATTGCTAGGTTAATAAATAAATAAATAAAAATCAAATTCAAACACTACTACTACTATTATTATTATTATTATTAGTCAAAAACGAAAAGTAAAAAAAAAAAAAAAAAAAAAAAGTTTTCCATGCCTTGTTACTTGTAAATGAATTTATTTAAAAAAAAAAAAAAAAAATGCAAAAAAGGAAAACAAAAATTTCAACACAAGCTTTTCCCTTTTTCGAGTCGCTACGGCAAGTTTAAAACAAAAAAAAATTCCCCCCGCCCCCCCACTAACCACTTAAAATAACCAAAATGGGGAATAAACAAAAAAAAATTCGAGTGATGGATTGTGCGATCTTTATAAATACTTGAAAGGGTACAAAGAATAAATTTATGATGCTTTAAGATGACTGATTGATTGATTGACTGACTGACTGACTAGCTTGTGTTTGTTTCGTTCCCCCCAAAAAAAAAAAAATTTTCATAATTTTCAAATGCAAAAAAAAAAAAAAAAAAAAAAAACCAGAGAAAACTAATAAAATTAAAAGTTTGTGCAACAAACGCTAACTTTTATTTTAAGAAAATAAAAAATTTAAAGTTCAAAGTTTAACACAACAAACAGGCAACAAAAAACAAAAAAAAAAAATGAAAAAAAAAAAAAAAAACAAAAGCGATAGAAGGTAATGCCTACCGCGGTGACGCGCGACTGTGCGACCTTGATATGAGCTTGGAGGTGCAGAGGGGGATGGAAATAGCGGCAGGGGTCGCGGGTGCACCGCCCTTTCACGGCGTCCATGCAGACCGTGACAGTACCGTCTTCGTTTGCCGTCACGGTCTCAGGAGGGTGCGCGAAGCGGCACTCACCCTCTGGCCTCTTGCACGCCCCGCGCAAGAATTCGCGGCACACCTACAGCAATAAAAGAGCGGAGGTAGGGGTGGGTCCTAGAAGAAATCATCTACTTGGTGTTACCTGTTAGTTACGACACACTGCAGTAAAGAAATCTAGATATATATTTAATAGGTGTAAAAGTTGTAAGTACGATAGTAAATTAGAAATAATAATAATAATAAAAAGAAAATGCAGGAGTAAAGAAAGAAAGTAAGATAGAGGGTAGGGTCGGGGGGGAGAAGAGAAGGGGAAAAGGGGGGGGGGAAAAGCGAGTGCATCGCAAACAACACGAGTGACATAAAAGAAAAAAAAGAAAACAGCCCACAGACTTGCAGGATATTCAAAATTTTAATTCTCACAACCTATGAGGAACCTATTTTTTTTTTTTTTTTTATTACCTAATAAGGGAGGGGGGCACACTAAATTTCTAAAACTAATTTTAATTGACCGGTGGTCTCTCTCTTTCGGTATAATCAAAAACAATGATAATAATAATTATAAAACAAAAAAAAAAAAAAAAAAAGAAAAAAAAAATGTGCGTAGCATGCAAACAGGAAAACAAAGAAAGAAAAAAAATAAAGGTAATAATAATACTAATAATAATAATAATAATATTGAATGAGACAAAGAAGAAGAAAATAAAGAAAATGAAAAAGAAGAAGAAAAAGAATAAGAAGAAGATGAAAAAGAAGGAAATGGAAAAAAAAACTTAAAAATTGTTAAAAATGTTATTAATAACAAAACAAACACAACAAACAACCGAAAAAAAAAATAGCGTAAAAGCTGCGTAAAAGTATTAGGTTTCATCATTTATTTTTCTTTATTTTTTTTACGCGTGCGTTCGTACGCGTTTTACGCAGCGTTCCAGTTTTTTTCCTTTTTTTTTTTTTACCTTTTACTCATCAAAATTTTATTCGTCGGTAAGTTAAACATATAATAGAAAAAAATATTATGGAGAAGACCACCGATCAACTTTTTTTTCAAATTAGATTCATTTACACTTGTAAATACGAACAAACAACAAACAAAAATCTAATATATATATAAAATATAATATCCTTCGTATATATATATATATATATATATATATATATATATATATATATATATACTATATTTAATATTATATATTATTATAAAAATTGAAAAAATTAAAGTGCAAATAAACCTTTTTTTGGGGGGAGGGGAGTGGAGGCAAAAACAAAAGCTATATTATCAATTCTTTTAAACTTTTTTTTTTTTATGTTTTCCTGTTTTTCAAAAACGTTGACGTCATAATATTAATGACGTCAGACGGGAATCGTAATAATAATAATAATAATAATAATAATAAGTATAAAGATGTGTTCTCACGTGTTTTTTTTTTTTTTTTACCAAAAAGAAAAGCATTTCGAAGATTAATACGGTGATGATAGTAATAATAATAATGATAAAAATTTATAACGTACCTCGAGTCGATCTGATCGGGGAAGTTTTTGCGGCACAATGGTTTGTGGCACAACCCCTAAAGGCGAACCAACAGCGGGATCAGGTCCGACAATCGTGTGCATCATCGGTCCAGGAGTGAAAAAATGATTGAACGTGCTTCCGACCTGCGGCATACCTGTCAAGTATGGATTCGTTGCCTGTCGGGTATTTAAAAAAAAAAAAAAAAAAAAAAAAAAAAAAAAATGAGTGACGATTAGAATGACAACAACAACAACAACAACAATAACAATAACAACGAAACAATGATAATAATAATAATAATAATAACGATATCGTTTAAATCTAGCAAAAAAAAAAAAAGAAGGTAATTAATTATTAATTAATCGTACAGAGCAAATGCAAGAAAAAAAAATTTTATTATTATTTATTAATTAATTAATTAATTAATTTTTCGTAAATTTTTTAATATTTTAATAATATTATTATTTATTAACAGAAAGCTATCGTTAATTAGCGTTAATTATTAATTACTTTTTTATGTAAAAAAAAAAAAAATAATAATAATACTAATTAATAACCACTCGTCATTAATAGCTTTCTTTATAATCGTTTTAAAAAACAACAACAAACGCAAAAAAAAAAAAAAGTCAGACAACTTACATTCGAAGAAAATTTTCAATAATAATAATAATAATAACCCTCCCCCTTCCCTACCCTACCCTTTTCACCCCCTTTTTTTAAGACAAACAATGAAAAAACTAAAAATCATAGCAAAAAACAGTAAAACAAAAACTAAAAAATAAGCAAAAAAAAATTGTAAAATAAATTCAAATAACGTGGAAGTAGACTCCTCCCCTCCCTTCTCCTCCCCAAAAAAAAAAAAATTTTCCTTACTAACAATACTACTACTAGTCGACTAATTATCGGTTAAAAAAAAAAAAGGAACAAAAATGTAAGTCGCCGACATTTTTTTATTTTGTTAAAAATAAAGAAAAAAACCTAAAATAATTTTTTAAAAAAATTGTCGTAGTCGTCGTCGTCGTGTCTTTAAATATGTTACGACGACGACGACGACGGTTATGCTAATAATAATAATAATAATAATAATTTTTATATATAGGAAAAAAAAAAAAAGAAAGCGAGCAATGACGAGGGGGAAATAAGCAATCAACAAGCAACCATTACCATGAATTGAGGGCCAATGCCAAGCGTCAGTGCAGGGGCCAGGGCCAGCGAAGAGGGCAGCTTCCCGCCGACCTCCAACAAATAATAGAACTTAAGTTACTAGCGAACACCACAAAAGTACTTGCTAAAAAATTAATTTTGTTAGACAAAGAAAAAAAAAAAAATTTTCCTCTTCCCACTTTTCCTCGTGATCCCACCCTCTTTCCCTCGTGATCCCTCCCCCTCAAAATATTCATCTTCTTTTCTCTTCTTCTTCATCTTCATCCCCGTCGTCATCGTCATCTCATTTCCTTTCCCCTCCCAAAAAAAAAATTGTCTTCTTCTTCTTCTTTTCCCCGCGTAAAATTTAAAATATTAATAATGATAATAATAACGATAATAATAATAATAATTTTTTTTTTTCTTTGTCATTAGTTATCACACACTTGAGATAATTTTCCCATGTGCATTTTTTTTTTTTTTTTTATAAAAAAAATTTTTTTTTTTTATTATTTAGAATCTACAACATTAAAAGAAAAAAAAAGAAAAAACTTGAAATTAGTTTGAAAAAAAATTTTTTTTTTTTTAAATATTAAAATAATAATAATAATAATAAGTTCTAATCGTTTATTTTATTAATAAATTATATAAAATTCGAACTTATTTACTTAAAGGGAGGAGGAGGGGGGAAAGGGAGAGGCAGTAAATTAAAAAGCCATTTAAATTAACATGCACTCGCCTTTAAAATAAATTGCTATTTTTTTTAATAATAATAATAATAATAAAAAGCTTCGTCAATGCTCTCTCTCTCTCTCTGTATATCTTTTCTAACGTTTCCCTTCTCCCCTTTCCCTCCCCCTTCGTTTTGTTAAAAAAAAAAAAATACTAACTACTACCTTTTATTATTTTTTATTTAAAATGCCAAAAAAGAAACGAAAAAGAAAAAGAAAAAACAAAAAAGAAAAACAAATAATAAATTACTTTTAAAAAAGTAAAAGCCTGGGAGGATTACATTCAATAATCTAATAATAATAATAATAGTAATGATAATAATAATAAAAGTGACGTAATGTAAGTAAGTATAAATTATTAGTTAATAACAATTATGATTTTTTTTCTTCTTTTGTTTTTCTCACGGTTAATATTCCCAAAAAATGTGTTAATAATAATAATAATAATTTTATTCTATCGGAACATACTTAATAAGAAAAAGAATAAATAATAATAATGATAATAATAAGCAATGCAGGAAAATAAAAATAAAAATAAAACGAAAAAAAAAGAGTAAATAACAAACAACAAAATAAAATTATTAATTAATTAATCATTATTATTAAAATAAAAAAAAAAAAAAACACGGACTAAAAAAACTAAATTTTAAAAAATAAAATGAAATAAGAATGTTCTAGAAAAAATAAAAAATAAAAAAAAAAAGGGAAAAAAACTTACCACCGCTGTGGGAACCTGTCCAGTGACAAGGGTTTGTCCAGGGGTTAAACCCATTTGTTGCAAAAGAGCATTTTTTAATGCCAAATGATTTCGGCCATTTATTAAAAGTTGATCCTTGAGATGCTGAGGCGGATGAAAATATTTGCATGGCGGTTTCTCTCTGTTACATCGTCCCTAAAAAACAAAAAACAAAAAATTTAATTTTTTTTTTTTTTTTTTTTACCCTCTCTTCGGAGTAACGAAAAAGGAAAAAAAAGGACGAGAGAAAGAGAGAAAGAGAGAGAGAGAGAGAGAGGGAAAAAAAAAGGAAATCGTCGAATCGAAGGGAAATTTTTTTTTTTTTTTTTTTCCAGACAATATTTTAGCTGGAACGAAAATTGAAAAAAACAACAACAAACAAAAAAAAAAAATCAGATTAAATTTTGAGCTTTTAAAGGGAAAAGCACCAAAGTGGAAAATTGGTTTGGACTTTCTATATATACCCCGATAAAAATGATTCATTCATTCATTCATTCAATACGTGAATTTTTTTTTTTTTCAAATAAAATTTTTTAGGATTTAAAAACAAAACAAAAAAGCTCAAATTGCTCAAAAGAAAAAGTTCGCATATACTCGATCGCATGCTGATAACGTCGTAATGATAATAAATCAAAAAAAAAAAAATTATCGTGAAGGTAGGTCATATATGGAAAAAAGAAAAAACGGCGAAAGTTCAACGAACGTTTCTTACTTATAAAAACAAAAAAAAAAAACAAATGAAATTATAATTAAAAAAAAAATTGTGTGACGTTAAAATAGCCACCGCCGCAACCGCCTCCGCCTCCGCCATGACCGTTGCCGTTGCCGCCGCCACTTTGGAGCCAAAAAGTCTGATTGCGTGCATAAAGAAAAACGATCAATGCTTTCATGGCAACGTATGGAAGAAGCTTGCGTGTCTCCAAGTTTTTTTTTTTTTTTTTTTTTTTTGTTCCCAGTTCGAACCACTTCCCTTTCCCTTTCCCTACCCTCTCCCCACCCTCCCCCATTCCCCTACGTTTCCAATTCAATTATTTTTTCCTTATTTTTTTTCCTAAACCCAAAAAAAAAGCAAAAAATTCAAATTTTAATTCGTATTATTAAAATAATTTTTTTTAAAAAAAAAAGTTTCGCTTAAAGAGAAAAGAAAGAGAGAGAGAAAGAAAGAGAGAAGAGAGAGAGAGAGAGACCAAAACTTTAAAGTTCAAAGTTGTAAAGTATCATCCAAGAAGTACAATTAAACAACAACAACGTTTCCTCACATCACAAGAAAAAAGAAAGATGGTGGAAATTAAAGTTCCTCTCGAGAGGAAAATCGGTCCTCGTTTCTTTTCTCCCGGGTCTTTATCTATCAACTTAGCGGTCAAAAACTTCTTCCTTTCCCTTCCCTCTCCTCCTTTCTCCCACCCATTTTAAAAAACTTTTATAACCCGTTTCGAGTTCGACGATGCGACGAACGAAAAACAGATATAAGGAAAATATCGAACAAGAAGAGAGAGAGAGAGACCTTTTTATTAAAGAAAGAGAAATTTGTCTTTTTAATAAAATTTAATTTGAAAGACTCCTCCCACCGACACCCGCCACCACCTCCTACCACTTCTCCGCCGCATTCATTTATTCCGTCACTATTTTTATTACGTCACGCATTTTCTTTTTTTTTTTTTGTGGAAATCTATGCTGCTATCCTTTTGTTGTGTAAGGAAAACCTTAACAACAGCGTGAAAATAAAAAAAAAAACAGAAAACCAACAGCGGAATAAGTGGTAAATAATATCTATCATATATTTTTACAAAAAAAAAAAAAAGTTTTCCCGAAAAGAGTGGGGGAGAGAGAGGGAGAGGAAGAAAGAGAGAGAAAGAGAAAAGAAGAGGAAAAAATCATTTTTCACCGTGACGTATATAATAAAATTTTTTTTTCTTTTCATTTTCGACGTTTTTCCAAAAAAAAAAAAAAAAAATATGGAAAAACTCGAGTCACGCGCGACTTCGGTTAAAGTTAAAAAATATCTGGAATTCCATAAAACTCCCGTAGAAAAAATTCATACCGTCATTCCAGAATCGCGAAATTGTCACGAATCCAAAAAAAAATAAAAATTTTTTTTCTCTTCTCTTCTCTTCTCCATAACGAATTAAACGAAACGTGAGGAGGGGTGGGGGGAAAAGATATTGACAATTTCTTCGGGCATAAGTTGAATTTTTTCTCCAGGAATACGTGCATACACATTTTTTTCTCCAAGAATTTTCCAGTCACTTTTCCACTTTTTCCGTGGAAAATTTTTATTTGAACGTTTGAGGAAAAAAAAGCGAAATGAAATGAAAATTATTATTGTTATTATTAAAAGTTTGAATTTTCACAAAAATTTATTTTTGCACAAATTTTATACCTTTCCCCCACTTTCACTTTCTCTATTCCCTCTTTCCCTCTCTCTCTTTTTTCACCTTTATCCAAGTTCCAAAAATTTTCTTCATTCACTTTTCTACCCCTCCACTCTCTACCCTCCTCCTCTCTCTCTTCCCTGTACAATAATAATTTTTTTTCCTCCCCCTTTTTTACCCTTTTTATCCTCCCAAGAGGAAAACTAACTTATAAAGTTAGCAAAATAAATTATTATCGATCAGATTATAAGTGAAAACTAAATTTATTGTTTCATAACTTTTAAAATGAAAAAAAAAAAAAAAAAAAATATTAATAATGATAATAATAATAATAATAATAATAATAATAATAATAATAATAATAATGATGATGGTAATAATAATAATGATGATGGTAATAATAATAATAATGATGATAATAAATAAATAAATTTTATAATTTTTTTTTATTTTTTGGAGAAAAAATTAATGAAAAAAATATAAAAAAATTCGTTTCATTTTTACGTATTTGATTCGATAATAAAACTGATTGTAACAAGAAACTGGACAACAAACAAACAAACGAACAAACACCCAATCAATCCCAAAATGTGACCCCCCCCTCGATGACGTCAGTAGTAGTAGTAATACTACTACTTTATAATAATTAATACGTAATCGGTCGTATCGTTGCTTGGTTTCGAACTATCGTAAACAAACAACAAACGACAAACAATTTTTTTTATCACGGATATTATTAAAACGGACTCAAAAGGCGTAACCTAAATAATAATAATAATAATTTTAAAGAAGAAATGAGAGGGAGGAGAGGGAAAGGGAAAGGTGGAAACCTTGAAAATTTTTTTATCAAACGCGTGGAACTTTTTCCTAATATAAAAAACAAAAAAAAAAGAAAAAAGTTTTTTTAATAATAATAATAATAATGATGATGATGATGATAAAATTTTACATTTATCAAGGGATGAAAATATTTAAATATGTTCACGTTTCACCCTTAAATCTTAAGGGTAAATTTATTTGAGCTTTTCTAAAAAAAAATTACATTTATATGTGTGTGTGTGTATGGTGTCGGGTAATGTTATTCACACGTTCATTATCAAGCTTATTTTTTTTCTTTCTTTCTTTTTATCTCTCTCTTTTCCTCTTTCTCTCTCTCTCCCTATTTATCTATTTATTATCATTTAAAACAAAGGGTGAAATGATAATGATGATGATGATGATGATGATATTAAAACGAAAATAAACGAATTTTATTTAAATTTACATTAATTATAAAATTATTTATTGTTTATTTTCATTTCCATTAACAATTTAAATAACAAAAAATAAATAAAACCTTCCAGAACAAAAAAAAAAGAAGAAAAACAAAAATTGTTTTTGGAAAACGTGGGGAGGTAGGGAGTGGGGGATGGGAAAGAATTTGATGAGCGAACGCAATCGCCGTCGAAAAAAAAAAAAAATTTGGAAAATTTTTAATAAGTTTTTTGTTTTTTCGTTTTTTTTTTTTTTTTCCGATACTTAATTTTAGATTATTTTTCATAATCGTATCATTCCATCATAATCTTCTTCCCCGACTTTTCTCTACCTCTTCTTCTTCCACTTTTTTTTTATTTTTTTTTTTTTCCGGGAAAAAATTACGTTCGAAAAAAAAAAAAAGAAAACTTCCCACACTCGTTTCGTCATTTTCATCTTCAAATTTTTTCTTGTTTACACTTTTTTTTTTTTTTTTTTATTCTTCATAATCTTGGAAATGAAAAATGAGAAAAAGAGAGAGAGAGAGGGAGAAACACATTCTCCAGAAAAAAATAAATACACTCACACGCGACAACATTCAAAAGAAAATCTCTTGAAAATAATATATATATTTATTTTATTTTTTATTTTTTTTTTTTATTCGTACCCGATACAATGTTGTTATTATTATTATCATCATCATCACTATTATTATCATAACAAGAAAAATACAATGCGAAATAATTACGTTGAAAAAAATAAAAAATAAAACCCGAGAAGAAAAGGAAATAAAAGAAAAATTGAAAATAATGATGTGGGAAATAATAAATTCGTTCCACGACGTTTTTGTCTCTTCCCCCGCAATGATATCATTATTATATTTTGTAATACAAAAAAAAAAAAAAATATTTTTTTAAATTGTGATTTCCTCCTCCCATCCCTCCACCGACCCCCGCCCCTCTCTCTTCCCTTTTTCTCTTCTATTCTGTCACATCCGGTATGCGCAATTCGATTTAAAATTAAATTAAACATATTGAACGGTGGACAGGAGGGGGGCGGGAAGTGGTGGCGGTGGTGGTCGTTGAAAAAAAAAAAGGAACAAAAACCGAAATCGTTTCCCGTCGTGAACTACCCCCCCTTTCCCAAACCCCAAAAGGGGGTTTTTCCCATTGTTTCCGATTATCCGACCGGAAAAACCTTTTCGGATGAAAGACGATGAGAAATGATAATAATAATAAGGATAAGAATTCGTTTTAATATTCGCTTTTAGTCTTTTTTTTTGTCGGCAGTACAGAAAAAAAAAAGTCATATCACGATCTTATCATTTAGATAATGACAATAATAATGATAATGTTGATAATAGAGTATCACGTGACTACTTACGCGAAACTAAAAAAAAAAAATCGACGTAACGAACGCGGAAGATAAAAAGAAAAAAAAAACCGGAAATTTTCAAAAAGAGAAAAAAAAAAAGAACAAAAGAAAACTTATGGGAAATGGGAGGAAAGAGGAAGCGGAAAATTTTTTTTTCCTTAAAAATTTTCCAAATTTTATAAAATTAATTAATCGATGATGATGATGATGATGATGATAAGAAAAAGAAAAGAATAAAAAAAAGGCGTTGTCGTTGACGGGGAGTAAAAGCAAAAAAAAAAAAAAAAATTCTTTGTTCGAAAATATTTTTTTATATAATGTCAAAATTAAATTGATTCGAAAGTGGGGGGAGAAAAGAAAAAGAAGAAGAGCTAAAGTAGGAGAGAGGCGTGGAAGGGGGCGGGGAAAAAAAAGAAAATGATAAAAAGTCAGAAAAAAAAAATTTTCACGCCGGAAAATTGGAAAAAGAAAAAAAAAATTTTTTTTTTCCATTCCAGTTTTTTCATTTTTCCTTCCTCCCTCCCCCAAAAAAGAAAAAAAAAAAAAAACTTTTTCACTCAACCGATCACGATAGAAATTTCTTGAAAAAGAAAAAAAAATAATAATAATAATAATAATTTTGTCC